TTTGTTATTGTTGTTCTCGGGTGGTGGTGGTGTTGCTGCTGCTACTGCTACTGCTACTGCTACTGCTACTGCTACTGTTGGTCGTGGTGATGGTGGTGGTGTTGCTGTTGTTGTTGCTGTAGGGTTAGTTGTTGTTGTTGTTGTTGTTGTTGTTGTTGTTGTTGTTTGTTGTTGTTGGTCGATTTTGTTTTTTTTTGTTGTTGTTTATATTTTTGCTCATGTACTTGTTATGGTTGTAGGTGATGGTGGTGTTTTCATTGTTGGCGGTGACGGTGGTGGTGTTGTTTTTTGTTGTCGTTTCGGATGTTGCTGCTGTTTCCGCTGTTGTTGTTGGTGGTGTTGGTGTTGGTGTTGGTGTTGGTGGTGGTGATGATATTGGCTATGGTGTTGGTGTTGTTTGTCGATTTTGTTTTTTTTTGTTGTTGTTTGTATGTTTTTGCTGATGTACTTGTTATGGTTGTCATTGTTGGCGGTGATGGTGGTGGTATTGTTTTTTGTTGTCGTTTCGGATGTTGCTGCTGTTTCCGCTGTTGTTGTTGTTGTTGTTGTTGTTGGTGGTGGTGGTGGTGATGATATTGGCTATGGTGTTGGTGTTTTTGGTCGTTGTTTGGTTGTGTGTGGACGCGGTTCTCGCGAGAGGTCCTCACCAACATCTAGCCAACAACCCCAGAATGCCGACCGTCACGAGGGGGAATGCATAGCGTCACAACCATGGTCTGACTTGATCGCCTCTTGCTGTACTTTACCCTCCCTGTAGGACAACCACCGCCGCCCCAGTCTTGTTGCTCTCTTCGTATTCACTACTACAGTTTTATCAGAAGTTGTTTGCCTGACGACAAAGTCTGTCCTCCTCGCCTTTTACTGTACCCACCTCGGACAACAACCGCCGGCCCTGTTTTCTTTTCTCGTGCGGGGATCCAAACCCTACGATTTTTCCTGAAAATGTTCTTGCTGCTGCGGGGAAAATGCGAAGAAAATGCTGACGGTCGTGATCGTCGCCCTTCCTCCTCCTTTTTTTTTTTTTCTAATGTGGGGATCCTTTCCGGGAAAATGTTGTTGCCGCTGTGAGGGGGAAAATGCGAAGAAATGTCCGACGGGTGTGCTCACCGTCTCGGCCTATTGAAGCGGTAAATAGCATTTGCAGAAGACAAAACGCTGCGATCTGTCTACATATTCGTGGCAACGGAGTAGGTCCTCCTCACCTGCCCGTGTTTTTTTTTTTTTTTGTTGCTCATGTGGGAATCCTTATCGGAAACATGTGTTGCTGCGGTGCCGGGGGGAAAATGTGAAGAAAATGCTGTGACGGGCGTGCTCACCGGCGTCGTCCTGATCGCCTCTTTGTTGTGCCCTATCGGACTCTGCCCGTGTTTTGTGTTTTTTTATCCTCATGTGGGGATCCTTACCGGAAAATATTTTTGCTGCTGTGCGGATGGGGAAAATGCCAAGAAAAGGCCGACAGGCGCACTCACCGTGTCGACTTCTTGACGCGGTGCAATGCATGGAAAATAACGCTGCGATCTACATACAAACCCGCGACAACAACATATGCCCCGCTCACCTCTTCCTGTGCCCTATCGGACACCGCCCCTGTTTTTTTTCTTTTTTGTCGCGTGGATCCTTACCGGATATATTGTTTCCGTGATTCGGGGGGAAAATGCGAAGAAAAGGCCGACGGCCGTGCTCATCGTCATCGTCCTGATCGCCACCCCTGCTTTTTTTTTCTTTTCTTTTCTCGGGTGGGAATCCTCACCAGATGTCGTTTTTTGCCTCGGGAAAAAAATGCGGACAAAAAGACTGGTCCATGCTCTCTTTGTACTACAATTTTAACCGAAACGATTGCCTGCTTCTTGAAATCCCCCTGTGTGGGAACCCTTACCGGAAAATGTTTTGCCGCGGTGCGGGGGGGAAATGCGAAGAAAAGGCCGACGGCCGTGCTCACCGTCATCGTCCTGATCGCCACCCCTGCGTTATTTTTTTGTTCTTTTCTTTTCTCGGGTGGGAATCCTCACCAGATGTCGTTTTTTGCCTCGGGAAAAAAATGCGGACAAAAAGACTGGTCCATGTTCTCTTTGTACTACAATTTTAACCGAAACGATTGCCTGCTTCTTGAAATCCCCCTGTGTGGGAACCCTTACCGGAAAATGTTTTGCCGCGGTGCTGGGGGGGAAATGCGAAGAAAAGGCCGACGGCCGTGCTCACCGGCATCGTCCTGATCGCCACCCCTGCGTTATTTTTTTTTTCTTTTCTTTTCTCGGGTGGGAATCCTCACCAGATGTCGTTTTTTGCCTCGGGAAACAAATACGGACGAAAAGAGTGATCCATCCTCTCTTTGTACTGCAATTTTTAACCGAAACGATTGCCTGCTTCTTTTTTTTTACTCCCTTGTGTGGGGATCCTCACCGGAAACATGTGTTGCTGCGGTCTCGGTGGAAAATGCGAAGAAAAGGCTGACGGGCGTGCTCACGGGCATCGTCCTCATCGCCCTGGCCGCCGTGGCGGGAGACTTTTCCCTGTACATGCTCTGCTCGTGTGCCAGAAGGACGGGACAGATAACCTACGTCGAGGTGTGTGTGCGTCTTGGTTTTCGGGCCTGGGAGGTTCCGCGTTTGTGTGCGTGTGGGGGGGGGGGGAGTCATAATGGTTGCATGCTGTATTTTATCGTTTGACCGTTGGCCTCCCATCCCTACAAAAGCCGGGACGGAATACGCACTCCGGGTTCTCCCCGGACCAGGTTTTCACATCCCCAAACGCGAAGCCCCGTGGGGTTTTTTTGGGGGAGTCGCAGGGGGGGTGCGCTGCTTCCTGTTAAATTTGGGGGGGGGGGGGGGGGGCAGGTGTGCGTTTTGATTTGCGACGACCGCGCTAGCCGACTGGGCGATGAAAAGACATCAGTCTTAGTCTCTATGCGTGTGTGTCTTTGTTGTTAGCATCGACCGCGCTGACCAATGAACAGGCGTTAGTCTTAGTGCGGTTGAGGATACAACGTGCCTCTATAGGCCATGATCTGGGACCCTGGTACCGAGAGCGCCATGAAAGCATACGCTACTCTCCGGATTAATGACAGATTGCCGTGGCAATGTGTGTGTGTGTGTGTGTGTGTGTGTGTTTGTATTGTTTCTTTTTAGCATCGACCGCGCTAACCGGCTGACCAATGAAAATATCTCAGTCTAAGTTCGGCTGATAAAACAGAAAATGGCTCTAAGGGCCATGATGTGGGACCCCGTGTGTATGTGTGTGTATGTCTATCCATATGTGTGTTTGTCTTTCGCATGGACCGCGCTGCATGTAACCGGCTGACCAATGAAAATATGTGGGTCTCAGCGGGGCTTATAACAGAGTGTGCTTGTAAAGGCCATGAGCTGGGACCCCGTGAGTACGTGTGTGTATGTGTATGTGTGCTTTGTTTTTTTAAACGCATCGACGGAGCTATCCGCTCGACCACTGAAAATGAAAATACCTCAGTCTCAGTTCAGCTGATAAAACAGAAAATGCTCGGAAGGGCCATGATGTGGGAAGGACCCCCGTGAGTACGTATGTGCGTGTGTGTGTGTGTGTATATGTGTGTTTTGTGTAGCATCGACCGCGCTCACCGGCTGACCAATTAAATACTGAAGTCTCAAGTTCAGCTGATAAAACAGAAAATGCTCGGAAGGGCCATGATGTGGGAAGGACCCCCGTGAGTACGTATGTGCGTGTGTGTGTGTGTGTATATATGTGTGTTTTGTTAAGCATCGACCGCGCTCACCGGCTGACCAATTAAATACTGAAGTCTCAAGTTGGGCTGATAAAACAGAAAATGTGGGACCTCGTGGTGGTATCCCGACACCGTCATGGTCGTTGGTGGCACGTTACCGTCTTTTCCTGTTTTCGTTTTTCAACGGCGTGGCTGCCGTGGCTTGCAATGGAGAGACACAACTCAGGTGGCACAAGCCTCCTCCGCTTTCGTAAAGCCGGGCGCCTTTGTGACTACGTTGGTCCTCGCGGCCGTGACGATCTTCGTCTCGCTTGGCGCTCTGCATCGTCCACGTTCGCCGCATTTGCTCGTAGCTTGTCCTTCCTGTTTATTTTGTGACTACGTTGGTCCTCACGGCCGTGACGATCTTCGTCTCGCTTGGCGCTCTGCATCGTCCACGTTCGCCGCGTTTGCCCGTAGCTTGTCCTTCCTGTTTGTGAAGCAAAATCCCGTCTACGCCGACGCCGCCCGTGCCTTGCGTTTCGACCGCAACGCTCAGGTGGGGCAGGCCGCCTTCGGAGAGCCGGGCGCGATCGTAACCACTTCCGTCCTCATGGCGATGACGATCTTCGTGACGATCGCCTACATGGTCCTCGTCCGGGACATCTGGTCGGGCATCGTGGAGTCCGTCATCGGCGAAACCCTGGACTCGGACCAGAGCAACCATGTGAGTGGAACCGCCCTTCGCGCGATCAATTGAGTTTGTGAGGAAACATTGGAACATCGGGTCTACTTGTTTTTCTTTGTGGTGTGAAAGCTGCTGTGCATATTTTCGTTGTTGTGTATATGCTATTTACTGGACCTCATTTTTTTTGTTGCGCAAAAGCTGCTGAACCTCTTTCCTTGTTGTGTGAAAGGTGCTGAACCTGTCTCTTTGTAGTGTAACAGCTGCTAACATTTTCTTTGTTTTGTAATAGCAGGTGAACCTCTCTCTTTGTTGTGTATACGCTGCTGAACCTTTCTCTTTATTGTGTCCATGCTGCTGAACCTCTCTCTTCGTTGTGTATTTGCTGCTGAACCTTTCTCTTTATTGTGTACATGCTGCTGAACCTCTTTCTTTGTTGGCCCGTTGGCTGCGGCGGCAGGTGTTGTTCGTGGCTCTCTTGCTGGTGTTCCCCGCCTGCTTGGCCAAGGACCTCCACGCCCTGAGGCATTTTTGTTAGGTGGGTTTTTTTTCGGCCCTGGTGCTTAGGGGGGGGGTAAGACTTACAAAAAAAAATCCCTTGCTTCCCTTTTTGCTGCTTTTTGGATTTGTTGGGGCGGGGGCGCTTTTTAGGGCAGGGGGGGGGGGGGGTTGTACTCATAGTCGTGCATGCCGTAATCGTTAGACCATAGACCTCGCATCCCTACAAAGCCGAGACGGAGCACGCCGGGTTCTCACCGGACCAGGCTCTCACATCACCAAGCGCGACGCGCCTTGAGGTATCTAGTGCAGGGAGGCGTTTTTTTTTTGTAGTCCGTGCACCCACCCCCTCCCCATTATCTTGCTCGCTTTCTTCCACCCTTGTCACCCATCACACACCGAACCAACACGACTTTTCTTTGCTTCAACAGGCGAACGATGCTTCTTTTGCTGGAGAATCGTGCCAATGCTCTCACCCCCGGAGTAAACAATTTTGAGTGCTTTCTGGCGGACCACAGAGCGGCACTGGTAGCATTATTCCCCTCTTCTTTTTTTTTTTTCTGTCCGACTGCTTCGTCGTCGCCCATGACCGTCGCTGCAGCGGGCGGCAAGCCCCGGCTATGGTTTGGGTTTAACCTCATGGCCGTGCTGATGCTTACCCTACGGGTAGAAAGCATATGTTCGTGTCTTGTTTGCCCGCTCTGAAACTGGCGAATGTTTCGTCGGGTCTTCGGATGCGCGGGAGTGGCACACACACACACACACACACACACGCCTTCTTTTTGCTTTTTATTGTTGAGGGCCTCAGGGCTATTCGTGGAACAGCATGGAAGAATCCAATCCACGAGGCGTACAGCCTCTGCAGTAGAGACTTGGCGTTCTTACGACGACAAGCAGTTGCAAGGACGGGAGAGGTAACTTGGCGGACAGGTAGTGAGACACATTTCATGTTTTCACCCTCAGGGGGAGGAACCCTTGTGGTGTGTGACCAAGGATCATAGGAAACGGCACGAGCCTGCGAACGCTGATTTGAAGGGAAGACCAAAAAAACATATACACGTACTGAAACTGGCGTCCTTTTCATTGGCCAGCCAGTAATCGCGGCCGATACTAATAACGGAGACACACGCGCACAACGCCTCCCAGATCATGGTCTTTGGAAATATGTTCTGTTTTTTGCTGCAATGATACTGACTGTGCATTGGAATCGTCGGTTCAGCGCGGTCGATGCTAAGAATGAGAGTGAGACGCACACGTATGTTGTTGTTATTGATGGCTACATTGGTGTTGCTCGATTGACGAATCAGATCTTGTGCCGCCTTCAACCGCACTTAGACTGACGCCTTTTCGTTGGCCAGCCAGCCGGTTAGCGTGGTCGATGTTACATACGCAAGAAAACACCCCCCCACACCCACACCAAGCTTGCCAGTTTTTTTGGTCAGGTGTTTTCTCCGCCAATCAGATGGCGTATTTTCGCAGCGTGTAGGCAAACGAGAATCACTGGCCAACCGGTTAGCGCTGCCGATTGCTAAGGATGTTTTTTTTCAAGAAACACACAAATTGTCGTTGTTTTCGTCGTGGGTGTTTGCTTGACTGGTCAATCAAATCGGGTACCGCAGCGTTCGGGCCAACAACAATTACCGCGCATGTCGTTTGGTTTGGTCGGGTGTTGCTTGGCCAATCAGATCGGGTACCGCAGCGTGGAGGCCAACCAGGAAGACCCGACGGCGAAGCTGGGGCTGAAGCTGAACGCGGACTCTTGGGGGGACATAATGGAGGCTTTCCCCATCTTCTGCCTCTCCTTCCAGTGCCACTTCAACATCCTATCGGTGAGAGAGGACGGGGGGGGGGGGGGGGACTCCTTGTCCTGCATGCCCTAATCCTTAGACCATTGACCTCCCATCCCTACCAAAGGGGGGGGGGGGGGGAACCCAAAACCCGCCATCCCCAAACCTTTTAACCATTAACCCCCCACCCCAAAAAAACCGGAAGGAACACCCCCGGGTTTTCCCCGAACAAGGTTTCCCATTAACAAAAGGGAAAAGCCCGGGGGGATTTTTTCAGGCCCCAAAAAGGGGGGCCTCCTCCCCCTTAAGGGGGTTCGCCATCTTTGGTTTCTTTCTTTGGTTCCGGAAAAACCCACCCAAGAACTAAATTTTTTTTTGGGGGTTTTCCCTCCCAAAAAAATTTTAAACCCCTTGTTAATTCCCCCAGAGAAATTTTACCTTTTTAAAC